TGTGTGTGTATGTGTGTGCGTGTGTGTGTGTATACCCAAACTTTTCAACACAGTGACCACCGGCCAGAACAGACAACCTACTGACGACAATTGCACTACACACTAAACTTCCGTTGAAATACAGGCTGGCAAACCAGGGCCAAAATTCTTTTGGGACCGAAATAGGATTCGAAAAGTAGGGATGTGACGTGTTGGAAAATGTTGTAGCGCTGTTTCGTTGCAACTGTCTTTGTCCGCAGACTGTGGCGGCTGCGTTTTGAAAGGATGATTTAATTTTTTTTGGTGGAGATTTGTGTGTAAGCTACGCGCTAGATCATCAACTCCATTATTAAAAGTATCATTATCGACATAATCATTTCATCATCGTCACAATCATCATCGGGACTCACAACAATTTCTTTCATCATCATCATCATCAGCGCCGCAGTCGTTTTCGCCGTTGCATAATTTATCTCTGTGCAAGCATTTCTTAGAGCGTGGACATCTGAAGTGATTGGTCGGACATTCGTCTGAAGGAAGAATTTGATTGGTTGGTTAAAGGAATGGATTTTGATTGGTTGGATAGTGATTGAAAGAATGGATTTGATTGGTTGGATGGTTGATTGAAGGAATGGATTTGATTGGTTGGATGGTTGGTTGAAGGGATGGATTTGATTGGTTGGATGGTTGGTTGAAGGGATGGATGATCAACTGATTGGTTTGTTTACTGATCGATTGATTGATTGTTCGATCGATTGATAGCAGTAGTAAAATGAATTTATAAGATAAACCAACCAAACAACCAACCAGCCAACCAAACAACCAACCAACCAAACAACCAACCGCAGTTTTTTTCATCGTCACCGCGCGGACAATCTCTGACGTCATCGCAAAGGAAATCACGTGATATGCATCTACTTCCGTTGCATTTGTACTCCTCCTTGGCACAGACTAACGGTTGGTGAGTTCAAATTAAATAGATCGGTGAAACAAATATACCAAATCATTTATATTAACATCATCATCACGTGATCGTCATCATCATTATCACGTGATCATCATCACCATCACGTGATCATCATCACGGGATCATCATCATCACGCCATCATCACCATCACGTGGTTTTCATCATCATCACGTCATCATCATCGTCATCATCACGTCATCATCACGTCATCATCATCATAACTGACCACAATTATTTTCATCATAATCATAATCGGCCCCTGGACAGTCGACGAATTTGTTGCAGATGTGGTTTGACCGTAGGCATTTCTTCGTTACGTTGCAGTAATAAACTCGATCGTAAGCATAGCACGCTGATTGGTTGGTTTGATTGATTGATTGATTGATTGATTGATTGATTGATTGATTGATTGATTGATTGATTGATCGATTGATCGATTGATTGATTGATTGATTGACTGATCTGATAATCTGTAAAATTCATCTTAGTTAATAATATGAAACTGAAATGGACATCATAGCTTGAATATGCTTTGTAGTTAATCAAACAATCGATCGATTGATCTACCAATCAAACAATCAATCAAACAATCAATCAAACAAACAATCAAACAGTCAATCAATCAATCAACCAATCAATCAACCAACCAGCCAACCAACCATCAATTCTAGCCAGCACGATGATAACAATGAACGAAGCAAACGAAATGCTGATCGTTGATATCAGGCCGAACTTTATAAACCTCATCAAATTAAATTTCTAATAAAAGATAAAATATAGATAATTATTAAGTTATAACTATAAACAATTCTAAAATATAATAAGGCTGTTACTGCTCTCTCTCTCTTTTGACCTTACTTCAGAGGTTTCATACAATAATACAATAGTTATGATAAAATTCAAAATAATCGCTAACCCGTGTAGGCTCAAGTACAAACTCTGTACTTTTTTGATTGGGATTAGTTTCGGTTTCGATTTCGTTTATTGTTTGGGTTTTCAATTTAATTATTTTGATATCTAGGCCAGCATCTCCAGACTGTGATGACGCTGGCGGTTTCACGCTGTCATGCCTACTTTTTACTACGTCATCTCCGAGCTTGCGTTGAGTTTATGAAAAGAAAGAATTATTAAGAAATCTAAGTCCGATAGTGAGAAACGGATTGAGTGATTGGTTGGTTGATTGGCTGGTTGATTGATCAAATTAAATGAATGAATGATTGATGAAATGAATGATTGATCGATTGATTGATATATTTATTGAATGAATAATTGATTGATTGATTGATTGATTGATTGATTGATTGATTGATTGATTGAATGAATGAATGAATGAATGAATGAATGAATGATTGATTGATTGATTGACACACACACACACACACACGTACACACAAGCGTACAAAAGCTATTTTACTTTTCTAACCATTGGGAAATTTGACTTCATGCTTTTCATTCTTTTACAAAAATATAATTGATTTACTAATGACCTAAGCAATAATTCAATGAATTAAATTGGTTTAATATTTAACAACTTGTTTATTTATTTGAAATTCTTTTTTAATTATTTTTATTAACTATTATTTTTATTTATTTGAGAAAAATTGAAGTAAATAATGACGTATACAAAGAACAGCTTTACATAC